TTACTGTGGAGGCCGATCTTTATGCCTTACCCTGGGTTGGACCCGATGTTGTTCTAGAAGTCCAGTGGCTAGAAGGATTAGGAAAGGTGACTACTGACTACCGAACCGGGATCATGGAGTTCAAGTGTGGAGGTAAAAGAGTCACTCTTAAGGCTGGAGAGGAGAAGGTTACTAAGAAGGTTGGATTAAAGAGTATCAAAAGAGTTTGGCGAGGTGGCGGCGAAATTTTTGCAGTAGTAGTCGAGAACACGGGGGCACACGTAGGCAAAACCGAGCAGCAGCAAGGAGATGTGCGCGAGCTTCTCGAGGAATTCGAAGGAGTACTGGGCGAGCCCAAGGGACTACCACCCCACCGTGAGTTCGACCACCGCATACCTCTAGTCAATGAGCAACATGCTGTGTACGTCCATCCCTATAGGTACGCTCACTTCCAGAAGACTGAGATCAAAAGGCAAGTAGCTGAGATGCTAGAGTCGGGGTTAATTCAGCATAGTTTGAGTCCATTTTCATCACCAGTCCTATTAGCTAAGAAGAAGGATGGCACGTGAATATTTTGTACCAACTATCGAGCTTTGAATGCCGCAACTATCAAGGATGGGTTTCCTATTCCTAGTGTTGACGACATGCTCGATGAGTTGGCAGGATCACGCTACTTCTCGAAGCTCGACCTGAGAGCTGGCTATCATTAGATCTGACTCCACAAGGCCGATATTCCGAAGACAGCTTTTCGTACACACCAGGGGCACTATGAGTATTTGGTGATGCCATTCGGGCTGTGCAACGTTCCTTCTACTTTCCAATTTGCTATGAATTCTATCTTCAAGGAGTATCTACGTAAGTTTGGTCTAGTCTTCTTTGATTATATCTTGGTATTAGAAGTCGTTCGATGAACATATTAAGCATTTGAGAGTGGTGCTCGAGGTCTTGGAGGCTAACTCGTTTCATATCAAGCCGTCTAAGTGTTCATTCGGGCAGGAGATGGTCGAGTACCTAGGCCACGTAGAGATAGTGTGGTTCGTAGAGTTTCGAACAGAAAATAACCTATCGGTTCCTTATAAGACTAAACTATTCTTTCACAGTCTAGACAGGCAGTGAGACCCCTCTTGGAAAAAGACTGTAGTGTATTCTTGATTCAGTTGGTCTTTGACTAAAGAATTACACTAGCACTTATGTTAAGTGTTGAACAGGACCACGAAAGGATAAGGATCACTGACCGTTGTTGTAACCTAGACCTTCGGTGATTGATGCGTTCTCTTAAGCTGTAAGATAATATAAAATAGGCATATATTTATATTTTTTATTTATTTGATTTACCAAGTGATTCCTATTTTATTAGGATGACATACGAGGTATTTTGGTAAGTAAGAATAATTATATGATGTGCTATTATAAATTATTTATGGTCACTATGTTCCAGTGCGCTAGATTGATGACGTCCCCGAAATGAGCTCAGGAATGTACATTATGTTAAACCCTGCAGGTAGACGATTGTCTGACATAATGGTTAAGGATCTGAGTGGTACTAATTTCGGAAATGAATAAGAAGTTGATTAATTACTTTGTCAGTAATTTAATCATGGAGGCTCAATTTTATTGATAAAATAGTGGCTAAATGGGGAGAGAAATTATATTACTCTAGTGGGATGTTTTATTATTTAATTCCATTTAAATAGGAATTAATTTTATTCAATATTAATTAATTTAATTAGGAGAATAAAATTCCTACTAGAATCTTCTCTTGGGATTAGGAGACTAAGGAGTCTTCTAGAAGATGGAGATTAGAAGGAAATATATTTCCTACATTAAAGAATTAATTGGAGTAGAATTAGGCTTTCTAAATTAGGAATTAATTTTATTCCATTATTATTAATTTAATTAGGAAAGCTATTCCTACTAGTATCTCCTCTAGTGTTAGGAGACTAAGGAGTCTTCTAGAAGATGGAGATTAGTAGAATTAGGATTCCTAGGCCTAAATGGGATAAGCCCATATTTAGCACCTCCTTAAGGTCCCTAATGGAGCCTATAAATACACCATGTCCCAATCTCTCCTACATAGATGTGTTGGCCGGTTTTCTCCTCTACATACGCGCAAGAAATATCTTTGTTCGAGAGATAGGGAGATTCGATTAAACGCTCCACCAAGTTTGATCGAAGTAGGTGTTTAGGTAATCCATTAGAAGGCTTTTTGGTACAATATATTGAGCCTCTAATATACATATATTTCCGGTCATCATCATCTCATAACCGCCGCCTTTCGCCGCTGTGTTCCGCCGCCGGAAACCGTCGCCGCCGCCGGAAGTCAGCCAGGCCCAGCCGATCGTGTAACACCCCGCCTTATCGTAAAATCAGAGTGCGAAAATTTCGCAAAGTTATTTAAAAATAAAATCTTTTACTTTGCGAAAACTGATTCGGGGTGCTACCGTAAAACATGACTTATTTTGGAAAACCGTTATTTAAATTTTTAATAAAATCATACGAGTACTGAAAGCATTAATTTTTCCAAAAGTCCAGTCAAAACATAAGTTCGGCAAAACCATAATCAGCGGAAACGTAAAACGTCATAATATATACACACTCAAAACATAAAAGTCCTGAAGCCTTCATCATCTCACGCTCCCTGCCCGACATCCTGACCTGAAAAACATGATAAAAGTGGGAAATGAGCACTATGGCACTGTGCTCCGTGGAAACTCATACTAATGTAAACATTGAAAATAATAAAACATCATGATATCGGCATATACATAACCTCAACATGAAACCGGTAATAACATGAACATGAATCTGATATCGTCACGCAAACGTGACCCTGACTGTTACCTCATCTGCCGGCAAGGACTAATGTCGGACACCATGTGCACACTCTAGTGGGC